TTTCGCTCCATTTTCATTTCGTTTCTTATTTGTTTGTTCCCAACTCTCTCTAGTTTCGATCTACCGCAGCTTCGTCTTAGATAATCCATTTCTGTCGTCATAAGTTTGTTTCTATTAGCTTTGGTGACGTCCCATACTTCCGAACCATAAAGTGTAGTACTTTGGACTATACTACCGTAAATGTGTTTTTTGGTTTCTCATCGAATTGATTTTTGAAAGAGAAGAGAGTTTAAGGCACGGGTCGCTGCTCTGCCCTTGTTTATTCTTTCTCTAATTTCATCTGCGCTATTTCCCTTCTTGTTAAAAATGACCCCCAAATATTTCAGGGTTGTACCCCTCTGTCGTCTTCCAATACTCGGTCACATATTTCATCTGTTCCCTCTGAGAGTTATTCACATTTTGTCATATTCATATTTAGACCTTCCACCTCATATTCTTCTTGCAGTTTTCTTACCATATAGCTAAGATCGTAGCTGTCTTCGGCAATTACTACCTGGTCATCTGCAAAGAAAAGTGTATATAGCGTGATTTCTTCCACCGTTATTCCCATGTTTCTACATTTTTTTATCCATTTCACTAAGGATCTGTCCAAATAGATTTTAAATAAGGTGAGTGACAGACAACAGCCTTGTCTTAGTCCCTTTGTTGTTTGAAAAGGAGAGATGATTTCTTGTCCCATTTTAATTCTTGCAAAGTTTTGTTCGTAGTATTTTTGGGTGCGTTAACAAGAATTGAGTTTTTTTTCAAGTTACCCATTTCTATCCATAGTTGGGAGATCGGTACACTGTCATATGCTTTTTCCAAATCTATTAAAGCTATATGGGTTTCTCTATTTCTCTGCACTCATTTTCCATTGCAATTTTTAATATGAAAATATTTCATCCATAGTGGAGCGTCCGGCCCTAAATCCCGCTTGTTCTTCGGGTTGTTTGTCTTTAATATAATTTTCTATCAGGTTTCGTAGTACTTTTGAGTATAGTCAGCCTATAGTAGCAATCACTGCGATCCCTCTATAGTTTTTAGGATCCGTCTTTGTGCCTTTCTTGTGTATTGGAGAGATATACGATTGTCTCCATTCTTGTAGAACTTCTTCATTTAAACATCTTTCGAATAATTTTCGGATTATTTCAAACAGTTTTGATGATCCATACCTAATCAACTCTGGATGTATTCCGCCTGGTCCTGGAGATTTTTTAAATTTCATTCCCTTAACTGCTTCTTTCACTTGTTCTATTGATATTTCTATTCTTTCTTCTACTTCCACTTGTTCATTTGTCTGTTTAAACCTTCCTCTTCTTTCAGTTACTAAGTTCTCAAAATGCTCTACCCATGTGTTCTCTGGTATTCTATTTATTATGACTTGGTTTTTTGTCGTTGATCTCATCGTTTTTATAGTTCTCCAGGCTTCAGAGCTCTTTGTCCCTCCTATATGGTTGTCTAGGTATTGGCATTTTTGTTTCCATGCACTATTTTTCTTGTTAATCACTTCTCGTTTGACTTCTTTATTTAAGTTTTTATATTGTTCTGTTGTTTTGTTTGTTCGTCTCCCTGTTGTAATAACTTTTGATATACTTCCTTCTTTGTTTTTATCTTTTCTTCCACTTCTTTATCCCACCAATATGGTTTATCTACTCTCCGTACCTGTGGCCCTATGGCTTCTAACGCTGCGCCTTTCCTGCAGTTTTTATATGGTCGTATTCATCCGTCATTGATCTGTGCGATTCCTGTAGTTTTTGTGTTAGTGTCCAGGAGTAAAGTAACTGTGTGCTCTGTTATATAGATTGCCTAAGGTGTACGTAGTTCTTTCTATTTTTTCACTGTGTTCTTTGTTGATGTCTGTGTGGTTCCTGTCTACGAATGGTGTATATATTTTTCCTATTATCCGGTAGTGGTCCGAGCCGCACTCTGCTCCTCTATTCACCTCTACGTCCTGTATTCTTTACTTAGTTTGTTGTCTTAATTACAATTACAATGTTTTACAATTACCAACTCTAAGTAAAACCCATGTAAAACCACAAAATTGAAAAAAAAAATTTGACGTTTCTGTCATTTTCAGCTATAAATTTAGAAGGTAGGTCAATGGAATATAATTAAAAGAAATAGGCTAGGTTGTTAGCGCCATAGGAGATAATTATTAAAAATTAAAAAGGACTCCAAAAATATAATTGTTCTCTCTTGCTTCTGGGTACTATTTTGGAGAGATTGCCTCTCCAAAATAGTACCCAAAAGAGAGTAATTAGATTTTTGGAGAGATTAGCTCTCCAAAATGGTACCCAGAAGTGGGCAATTTGGCTTTTGGGGCCCTTTTTAATTTTTAATAATTATCTTCTATGGTACTGATAACCTAGCCTATTTCCTTTAATTATACTGCATTTATCTACCTTCTCTTAAATTTATAGCTAAGGATGACAGAGATGTCGAAACGCGTCCAATGTATTAAATAATAAAGAATTTTTACAATTTTGTGGTTTTACTTCGAGTTAGTCATTGTATTATCTTAAAAACCACATTAGAGAGATACTTTTCATTATTTTACACTAATGCCCAAACAGTACTATTTTCAATGATCACTTATTACATTATTGTGTTCGAAGTTAAAAGCTAAATCTGTCTTGTTTAAACTGTTATAAACTATAGTCCTACGTACTGAAAGCATTTTGATGCATTTTAGCTATTTGCGTTCGCTTTCACAATACAGAGTGTTTCAAAAAGGTATGCCATCAATTAAATCACGCATTCCGGGGACAAAAATAAATTGATTGAATCCAACTTACCTTATTGCAAATGTGTACACAAAACAGTTACAGCCCTTTGAAGTTACAAAATAAAAATTGTTTTTTTTTGCGTTATCTCCTAAACTACTTTTTGTAATAAAAATAGACACGTTACTTTTTTGTTCTGAAAGCATTTTTCATGCAAAAGAAACAATAAAATCTAACCGCACAGAAAAATTTTAAGGGGGGTGTGCAGCCCTAAATCCCCCCAAACTTTTGAGTACGTTCAAATCAAATGAATTTTGTGGCATCATTAGTTTAACACATTATTTTTAAAACTTTTTTGCCTCTTATCACTTTTTCGAAAAACCAGTTTTTTCCTAGTTGGCCATAAAATTACAATTAGTTTCTACGGATACAATAATTACAAACAGTTCCATCAATAGCAGTCAATAATTTCATTTCATTTATTATGTGAATATCATTTATTATGTGAATATCATTTATTATGTGAATATCATTTATTATGTGAATATCATTTATTATGTGAATAAAATTAATATTAAAAATTTTGATATTAGAATGGCCTACACATTTCAGGAAATGGCAGATATGCATTTAACTTTGGGTAAGTTCGATCTGATTATGATTTCAATAAACTATCGGGAATATCGTAGGTAAATGTCAAGGAAATAGTGCAGCAGCTGCAAGGCGTTATATCAATCGAAATACACCCGATAGACGATTATTTTTGACCATTGATCGTCGTTTATGGGAAATGGGTACATTCCAACCGTAAGTTACTGGCAATAGTGGTTGTCTAATAATGGATGCAACGGACGAAGACATTTTAGTAATCATTGAAGAAGTCTCTGGAACAAGTACAAGGGTAATAGCTGCTCAACTAAATGTTCCTCACGTAAGAGTTTGGATGCGTTTGAAGGATCAGCTGAAACCCTATCACTTAACAACGGTTCAACAGTTATTGGTTGAAGATTATCCTAAAAGGATTGAATTTTGCGATTGGTTGTGTATGGAAAACACTCGAAATGTTAATTTTATTCGTATCATAACGAGCACATTTGGGCCAACGAAAATCCTCACTCCAAAAAAGGACTTAAAGTTAATGTTTGGGCACTAATTGTGGATTACAGTCTAATAGGCCCAGTATTTCTTCCCAACAATTTAAATGGTGATAATTATTTGGAGTTCTTGGAAAACGATTTACAAGAGTATTTGGAAGAAGTGAATATTGCAATAAGGCAAAATATATGGTTTCTACAAGATGGCGCTCCACCGCATTACAGTAATGAAGTCCGGGAATACCTTAACAGGCAGTATCCTGTTTGGTGAATTGGAAGGGCTCGTGACGTACCTATTTCTTGGCCACCCAGAAGTCCAGGTCTTAACCCCATGGACTTTTGCTTTTGAGATTTTATGAAAGAGAAAATGTATGCTGTAACAATAGATGACGAACAACAATTGAGGGTTAGAATAATTGAAGCTGTAAATCAATTTCGTCGGAAAAATATGATTTTTCAGCGCCGTCAGTTTTCCTTATTAAAACGATACCGAATGTGTATTAAAGAACATGGGGGTCATTTTGAACATTTATTTTATTGTAATATCATATTTATAGAGGTTATAGACATTTCTTGTACTTGTTAATTCATTTAAGCCATTTATTTAGTTGCACGTAATTTTAATGAAAAGGACAGTTACTCGATAAAAACTGTTTTTTGAAAAAAGTTATAAGAGCAAAAAAAAATTTGAAAAATAATGTGTTAAACTAATGATGCCACAAAATTCATTTGATTTGAACGCACTCGAAAGTTTGGGGGGATTAAGTGTTGCACACCCCCCTTAAAATTTTTCTGTGCGCTTAGATTTTGTTGTTTCTTTTTTATGAAAAATGCTTTCAGAATATGAAAGTAATGTGTCCATTTTTATTACAAAATGTCAAGTAATTTAGGAGATAATGCAAAAAAATAATTTTTATTTTGTAACTTCAATGGTCTCTAACTTTTTTTGTGTACACATTTGTAGTAAGGTAATTTATGTAATTTAATTTATGACATACCTTTTTCAAACAACCTGTACATTAGTAAGAACAGAATTTTTCCTTACTGTTTTTTTGGCACATATAGTTATAGATGATAAGATCGAGTCTTATTATAGGCATGGAACATAAGAGAATTCGTTGTTTTTAATTAATACATAACAACATAATAATTAATATATGACATCAAAAACATTGTTTAATACAAATTATTTATATTGTTTTAGATGAAAATTTAGCTGAATTTTTAAATAAAACAAAGGATATGTGTTCGTCCTCTGTAGTAAATTATTCAAAAAATACTGTACTTTTATTTTCATGGATAACAAAAGCATTATTAATGAGAAATCATCGTTGTGGTCTGACTTGGTTAGATTGGGTAAGAACTTATTTTTTTTAGTGTATAAGATATCGGCTGTATTATTATAAATTATATTAAATTTTTATCTTAAGTTCTTTCATTTTCTCATTGGTTTCAAATTTCAAATTCATTTTCTCATTGGTCATCAAATCTAGACCAAATCAAAGAAAATAAGACACGTTTTGGAATAGTACGTGCATCATTCGTTAAACTTGAAAGTTTCTTTGTTGGCGATATATAAGGTTAAGGCTACGTCTAAGAATGCTTAGGTGTTACGTATTCACTACTTTTCTTTATGGCTAGGAATCATGGACATTAAGTGCATCTGAATAAGTTGGCCGCTTTTGAATTTTGGTGTTACAGAAGAATCCTACGAATATCATGGACTCAAAGGATGTCAAACGCAGAAGTTACTAAAAGAATAGGAAAAGAACTGTTTAGAGCAGCAGTCAACAATGTCCGTATAGCCATGATGATTTCCAACCTTCGATCGAAGATGAAACTTGAAGAAGAAGAAGCCTTATATTCGAAATAGTACTTTCATCTTCTGGTAACCTCAATTGATTTTCATATATCAAAAATTAAAACCACAAAACACAAAATAAAAACTCTTGAATGCCTTTAGATAAACATTAAAAATCAATAATGTAATTGGTTTCCAACAAAATATCGATTACAGATTTACAGTCACATAGAAGTGGATTCTAATTAGATATTATGTAACTAGAATTTAAGCTGCTGTGCGCTATATGAAAACTAGTCTTTAACGAAAAAATTATTGTAATAAATGCATTCATTCATTTTCCTATTGGCACTTTTTGTTTACCTAAATGTTTTATTAATTTGTTTTTAGTATTAACAATAGTCTCTTTTTAGTTATTGCAATTACTAGAAGACAATAGAGATGTACCTGAGGGATTTAGAATAATTATGAACGACTATTCTGAGGCATTAAGTTTAGAAGTTCATTGTAATAAATTGTAAGTATTGTCCAAGAATGCAGGCTTTGTATGTACAGTTTGTTTTTTGTTATGATACATTATGTTTCGAGATTATATAACGTGGTTCTTCTGATCAATTTTCATCCCAAGAATTCTCCTTCCCTCTGTATTTACAGTAGTTAGTCCTTGGTTGAAATTAGTGTGTCATCCCTCTTACCGCGCTGTAAAACTTCCTATACTTTATTTCACGTTAAAACGGAACGTTTGGCTTATGCAGATCAGTGTTGCCAAAACTCTCAGGCACGTGTTGCTACTCGACTGCCGATATACGAGTCATTCTAATCAGAGCCGTATTCGCCACTGTGTAGATGTAGTTAACTTAATTTTACTAATACGTGGATATCTAGAGTTGAATACAAAATAAAGCATTATAAATACTTGTTTCTTTAATAGACAGATATAGGTATGTAATTATTATAGGTCTTATAAAAATAGTTAAATTTGTCTATTGTTTAATATTACATGTTTATTAAGCTTTAGATAAGATTTAACTAAAAAAATGTCCTTGTATATAACATGCATTCCGCTTAAAGATGTTATATTATTTAAAATCTTTTGTACTATTACCTAATTTTCACTTTTTGCCGGGCTGTCACTTGCATACTTTTCGAATTTGGCACCTTTTTGACCGCCGATTTTCCCACTATCACATAATTTACTTACTGTCACACATCTATCAACCCTTCAATAGCCGAAAAATGTTTGCTCTTAATAGCAATTTTATAATACTTGTTCCAGTTATTGTTACTGTTACTACAGCAAATGAATGTCTTGTTAATTGTCCCATTGTGACGGTCTTAAACTCTATGTTGTGTGAGGCAATACGTCTTATGACTTGACTTCATACCTTTTCAATTGGATTTAACTCACAGTGGCACGGAGATAGTCTCAAAATGGAAACATTTTTCTCTTTGCACATCTCGTTGATTTTATATTTTATGTATTCTACTTTGAATGTGTTTACGACTTCCATAAGCTCTGATTTTAAATATTTCTACAAAAAATATATCTTTCCCCAGCAACCATGTCTTAATTTGATCTTTATTAAACGCTTGTGTCGGAATCACTTCTCTCCTCGAATGGTACAAGGCATTGTCCATCACAACAGTTTTCTCTGGAAAATTAGGAAGCAGCTTTTCCTTTAACTGTTGTCCAAATATAGGACCATCCATCTCATCATGATAGTCCGCTGAGTTTTTTTAGCTAAAAACTAAAAAGCAGCAGATTCCACAAAGCCCAATTAACTATCCACATGCACTATAACAAATCGGGGGCCTCGTTGTGTCGGCTATTTTAGGCCTGATGACAACCCCTTAACAAACGCATCCCTGGCTGAGAGGTCCTTCTATTCTTTTGAAACACGATGTTCGACATTCACCCAAGTTTCATAGATCGTAGAGCCACGTATGAACTACTGCGTCGTAAATGAACTTTCTGCTGTTCACTCTACTTTTGGTGCATTTTCTTGTTTTTTTAAGGGCCTTAGTCCTCCTTCCGCCGCGTCTTTGCGTATTTTAGAAATAGTGCTAGATCCTACTCCCGTCATAGAACTTACTTTATCGATTAAACTTCTAACACTTCCACCACTCTTTAAATTTAGATGATAATTAAATACATTTAAAATAATTTGTTTTGCACGGATGCCCAAGATATTCCTTTGTCTTAATTTTCGAATTTCCATTTTCAATGAACATTAAACTGCGAAGAATAACTAAAACATCCACAAAGCCTTGTTACCATTATAGGTACGAGGTACGAGAATAATAAGTTTGTAATGATTCCAATACCTAGATTCCTAGAGAATACGAACGAGAAACAACGGAAAATCTCTACAGAACAATAATAAATGGAATACACAAAGCGGCACAAGAAACTTTAGGTATCACAACGAAAAAGCGAGAAGTTAGAAATTACTGGTGGAATGATCAGCTAGAAGAAATGAAAAAACATAAACAGGAAGTATACCATAAGTGGCTAAATAACAGAGAAAACGAACAAAAAAAAAGTGAATATCAGCAAGCACGTAGTAAGTTCAAAACGGATGTAATAAACGCCAAAAATCAAAAATGGGAAGATAAATGTCAGGAGCTGGACACGTACATCGGAGGACGAAAATCTAGGGAAGCCTGGAGATTTATTAAAAATGTCAGAACTAACAAAAGAGAAGAAACTATGATAAACCCCATAACAACAATGAAATGGGAAGAGCACTACAAAACACTATTAGTAGAAAAAAGACCAGAATACAGTACCACATCACAAAACATAATCGAGATAACAGGACAGCCAATAAATATAAATGAGGAACATATCAAAAAGGCAATAACCTTATTAAAAAACGGCCGCGCCCCAGGTCCGGAAGGAATACCCGCAGAACTACTAAAAAATGGTACTGACAAACTAGCAAAAATAATAACAATATTATTTAACAGATATCTAAATGGAGAACCGGTACCACAGACATGGAAAGAGGGATGGATAACATCTATACACAAGAAAGGTAGTAAACAAGACCCAAATAACTACAGAGGTATTACCGTAACTAGCACACTAAGTCGACTATACGGAAGAATACTAAAAGACCTCATATGTGAAGAGTACCATCCATACGAGTCAGAGGAACAAAGCGGCTTTAGAGCAGGTAGATCCACAATAGACAACATTTTCTGTATAACCCAAGTAATAGAAAAGAGGCTGTCAAGAGCCCAAGAGTTGCATTTGCTTATGGTAGATCTAACAAAGGCATATGACACGGTACCCATTAATAGACTATGGGAAGTACTAGAAAAAACCAGCATAAATGTATCTATCATACAGGCGCTGAAAGAACTATATAGAAACTCGACATCTAAAATTAAAATTGGAAATAGAATATCCAAAGGTTTCCTCGTCACTAAAGGACTAAGGCAAGGATGCTGTGTATCGCCAGTATTATTTAATATATATATTGATGAAGCCCTGAGGCAGTGGAAGAAGAAGTGCAATGGAATGGGACTACCGATAGGAGATACGATACTCTATACGCTACACTATGCAGATGACCAAATTGTAATTGCACAGGACAAAGAAGATCTTGAATATATGACAAGGAAACTGATAGAGGAATACAGAAAATGGGGTCTGGAGGTAAACACCAAAAAAACACAATATCTATGTGTAGGCAGAGAAGAAACAGAGAACCTGAACCTGGAAAAGGAGACAATTACAAGCTGTAAGGAATATGTATATCTGGGAATAAAACTAACGAGCACAGGACGAACCGAAGAAAATATTAAAGACAGAATAGTAAAGGGAAGACAGGTGATAGGAGCCCTGAATTCGGTACTATGGCAAAAAAATATAAGAACAGAAAATAAAAAACGAATTTACAACACAATATTAAAACCAGTGTTAACTTATGGAGCTGAAGTCTGGCAATTAACTAAGAAATACAAGGATAAATTACTAGCCACTGAGATGGATTTTTGGAGAAGGTCAGCAAGAAGATCTAGATTAGAACACATAAGAAACGACGACATTAGACAACAAATGGAAATAGAAAGAACAATCATAGATGACATTGAAAGACAACAGCTAGTATGGTACGGGCACGTAAGACGAATGGAGGAAAGAAGAATCCCCAAGAAAGTGCTAGAATGGACCCCCACAGAAAAACGAAAACGAGGAAGACCAGTAACCACATGGATGAAAGGCATCTCCAAGGCAATGTCGGAACGAAATTTGAGAGATGAACACTGCCATAATAGAAAAGAGTGGCGATTAGGAACGGAAAGGCGTAGAACGCTATAAAACCGGTTTAATATAATGATTCCAATGGCATGGTGTATTCTAGACGAAGTAAAATTAACCTGTCGTTAATATAATTAAAATAACAGAAAATAAAACCATCTTTTTAAATAATATTTATTTACTTCAAATCATTTTCCCTACTTTTCATCTCTTGTGTCCAATGAACACTTCTGGTCAGCTACGTTAGAAAACATTTATTTTAATTCATTTCCGTGGAAAAGAAAATACAAATACTATCTTAAATCGTGCTTGAATCGCAAAACTTCTCACAAATATCACAAAGCATATAATTATAGCATATGAGTTAAAAATCCAATCGATACCATTACATAGTCTACACAATATGACTTAAGTAAGAATAACTCCATAATACTAATAATTTGTTTAAATCATTGGTTGTTGTTGTAAATTTGGTAACCTGTTATTATATAATAATTAAATTCAGCAAGTTTTAACTCTTAAACAAATTCTCCGTATATTTTTTTATGACCATATTGTTTCTAATAGCAGATAAATGTACATACACACTTTTCTGATCAGTGGTGAAGCTGAAATATTTTTCAAACATCTCAAACTTGATGTACTTAATTGCTTGTCAAAGACTCAATGTCTAGTAAATATTTGTTAATTTTAATCTGTCCCTTATTTTTCAGAGCATTGTATAGACAAAAAGCTTTTGTTTACGTAACGAATAAGATTATAGAAAAGTATAACCAAAGTAAGCCGGAATATTTAGCAGCTTTAGGATATTTATTAGAATTTACACCCCAACAAGCCATTCTACTTCAATTTCCAAAGGTAAGTTCAACAATTATAATTCTTAGAACTTAAGTCATACAACAGATCAAACGGATATGCGTAGAACATTAATACCCATATTATGCTGAGAGGGAGAGTTTATTAAAAGAACTTATGATCAGGTGATACGATAGCACAGCCTTCTAAAAGTCCTTTAATATTTGTCAGGCAACGGCCTCGCATCAACAGAGAAGATGCACCACTGCATTTTCTTCCTTTAGACCGAGCTGGAACAACTTTTCGTTAGCTCCTCAATATTTTCGAAGTAGTACCTTAGACTTATATTTATATGGGATTAAGCTACAATTGACTGTAATGAAAATTACACTTAATAGTTTTAATTTGACTCGTTTTCAAAAAATATTTTAAATTTTATCTTGACACTTAGTGGTCTTGCGATTTCCCTCAACATACATTTTTTTGCATTCATAGGGTATTTTATAGATGCAATTCTTTGATCTCTGTTTTCACTTTTCACTCTGAAAGTGAATATAAAAGTGAACCCTCCTCCAAAATATTGAAGTCAGAAGTTGTAAAGGCGATCAAATGGGGCAAAGCACCAAGCCCAGACGAAATATACATAGAGGTTCTAACAATGTTGGGTGAAGACAATAGACGCCTTGATAGATCTTTTTAATGACATTTATGGGTCTGGTCAAATACCACAGGATTGGCTTCAATCAACCTTTATACCAATCCGAAAAAAGCCAAACGCTAATAGTTGCGACCAATTTCGAATGATCAGCTTATTGAGCTTGGTCCTAAAACTCTTCTTAAAGATAATTCACACAAGAATATACAACAGATGTGAAAGAGACACTAGCCCCACACAGTTCGGTTTCAGACAAGGATTTGGCACAAGAGAAGCACTTTATAACCTAACTGTCCTACTTCTATGCTTTATAGATTACCAGAAAGCGTTCGATTGTTAATCATTCAGAATTAGTAAGATTGCTCCAGGAACGTTTGATAGATGAGAATGACCTTAAAATCATAAAGAACCTTTATATGAATCAAGTGGCATCTGTCTGTGAGACTAGGACTGGAATCTATATCATATTTCTCAATCGAAAAAGGTGTACGACAGGGTTGTGTTCTGTCACCCCTCCTTTTTTATCTTTACTCTGAAACGATTTTCGATAGAGCCTTAAGTGACACTGAAGATGGAATCAAAATCAACGGACAGACTATTAGTAATCTTCGATATGCTGATGATACAGTCATAATAGCTGATAGCCAAGAAGCGCTACAACGACTAATAGATAGAATAAACACTGAAGGAGTACGACTGGGTTTTAAGATTAATATAGACAAGACGAAGGTAATGGTGGTTAGTAGAACACGAAATATGCAATTAAATATAAGAGTAAACAATAAGAACATCCAAAAGGTCCCCAAGTTCAGATATCTCGGTAGTTGGATAACTGAAGATCTAGATAAAGACATAGAGATACGTAGCAGGATTGAGCAAGCCAGAACAGCATTTACTAATATAATAACCTTCCTAAGCAACAGTAGCATTAAGTTAACGCTTCGATATCGCTATACTCCATACTGCTATATGGTGTAGAAACCTGGATTATAAAGGCCAATGTGATGAATCGATTCGAGGCCTTTGAAATGTAGGTATTTCGAAGTTTGCTTAAAATTCCCTGGACAAATGTCATAAGTATTAAATCGAATGGACAGAGAATGAGAATTGCTGCCAATAATAAAAAGAAGAAAAACTGCTTATCTGGGTCATATATTTCGAAATTCCAGGAAAGGAATTGGGTACCAGAAAAGGTAGAAGGAAAACGGGGCATCGGAAGTAAGAAATACTCATGTCTTAAAAACATAAGAGATTGGACAAATCTCGATGCCCATGCGCTCTTTAGATCCACACAAGATCGAGAGGAGTATCCAGATCCAGAATTGTCGCCAACATCCACTAATTGAATAGGGCACCATAAAAAGTTAGGTTTGGTTTTGGACAAAATAGATCTCAGCGTGTTGGTTGTTTTGAATTTTCTGTAATGTTGAACTCATTTCCTATTATTTTAATTTATCTGATAAATCCTTTACTATAGTATTGTTGTAATCTTTAAATCTCTTCTTAAGAGCATTTCTGGTTTCTGGAGGTTTTTTCTTCCGGAGTACATTTTCATTAGAGCAAGTGTTTTGGGCTCTATCGGCGTTATGAATCACTAGACCAAGCGCCAAAAATTTATTTTGAGATATTTGACCTCAGATAAAATTTAGTATATGTTACAATTCGCAATTTTTTGTTTTCAAAGATAGTTTTTATGTTTTCTCAGTTTTTATGTCTTCTCTAAATGCGATATAGTAATTTGTTAATATTGAAGAAAAAGGAAAAAAGACGTAAAACCGCTAAAAAACGACATGAAGGTCTAGTGATGCGCAACTAAAACATTACTTTTAGTGAATGATCAGTAGGCCAAAAACTATTCTTTCTTTTTGAGTATGACAATAAAAGTCCTTATTTTGAACATTTTATATTACTTAAGAAATTAATCAATAATAAAAAAACTTGAACTCAAGTGTTAACATTACTCAAGCATCTTATACCTTAAAGTCAAATCTCGATCAAATCCATTAATGCCTTACTCTACTTTATTGATACTGAATAGGGAGCGGACAGAAGTTTTGCATCATTTGGTATTAGATGCATTAATGATCTTTAAGTCTATAAGCTTAGGCACAGAAAGTGGCTTGCCTGTGGGCTAAAGAGGAATCAAGTGGTTACTTAGGGATTGCATTGCAACAGCCCTTTTTGAAGTAGCTTCTGAAGATCTACTTCAACTTTACTAGTGTTACAATTGTTTTTCATAAAAATACTCTGGTTTATCCTTTCTTATTTCAATTTGCCTTATTTTAAGCCAGCTTACTTTACTGTGTTCTATGTCTGATTTACGGTTTGTAATCATATTTTCCAACTTCTTTGTTTCAATGAATTCTTCATCACTTATCTTCTCGTTTAGGTAGTGCTCAACGGTATATAAACGTTGTTGAAATTTTCAATATCTACAAAATCATTATTATTGGGTAAAAAATTATGACCACGAAAGAGATGGCGTAATCTAATTTTTGCAATGATGGGATAAAGTTATAAAATCGTTTTCAAAATCAAAAATATTTTGATGTTTGACCGCGACAAAATTACATTTTTTTCGGAAGTAACATTTTCTTCAATATGTTTCTTAAGACACTTGCCTACTTCCTGGGCTCTCCGACCAGCTTCACCTTCTGTCCAATACGTCACATAACAATGACTATTATTCTTGCCGCTATCGATACCAGGGTTGCAAATACATCATCATCGTCTAAATCAAAACAAAAGGTTTTCACTTCTGGTTGATCGTTGCTCGTCTTCACGTCTAGCTTTCTTCCAGTTTGTGCAATTTCCGCTTCTTCTAAATGCACATGTTTTTCCGCCTTGCTTAATTTTTCGTTATCTGACAAATTTTTAATTTCCAATTCTAAACAATCACATCTACTACAGATATTTTTTTTCAACTTTTTTTTTTAAGATTAAATAGTGTTAAAAATGAAAGTTTAACAGAATCATTGTGTGCTTCTTCAATATACAATTCATACATTTTACTTAATGTTGTATTTTCTGTTAGGTATTCTCTTTCTGTATTAGCTCTTCTGTAATGTGACTTGTACTTAGTGTAATGTATGAAAGAACGAAAGGAGTAAGACAAGGAGACACTATCTTTCCCAAACTATTTACCCTTGCTCTAGAAGATATTTTTAAGAAAATGGAATGGAACAATAAGGGTATCAACGTCGACGGATCATACGTGAACCACTTGAGATTCGCAGATGACGATAGTTTTAATAGCCGATAATATCCAAGAACTAAATGATATGTTACAACAATTAAATGCAGTTTCAGGAGCGGTAGGCTTAAAAATGAACTACAGCAAAACAAAAATACTGAGCCGAGACCATACAGATATAACAATACAAAATCATACCATAAAAAATGTTGAACATTATGTATATCTAGGTCATGTTATCAAACTAGGAAAACCAAATCAAGATGCTGAAATTAAAAGAAGAACACAACTGGCATGGGGCGCTTTCGACAAACTAGCACATATCTTGAAAAATACCTCCATTCCTATAAACTTAAAGAAAAAGGTGTATAACACATGCATACTACCAGTTTGTACCTACGGCTTGGAGACAGTAGCCCTTACCAAAAAATCTGCTAAAAAATTAGAAACAACGCAAAGAGCAATGGAACGAATCATGCTTGGAATATCACTAAGAGACAAGATTAGAAACACCGAGATAAGACGAAGAACGAAGATTATGGATATTGTGGAAGAAATTACAAAAATGAAATGGCGCTGGGCAGGTCACGTAGCCCGATATAATGACAATAGGTGGACACGGAGAATTCTAGAATGGAGACCAAGGACGACAACAAGAAGCATGGGAAGACCTCAAAAAAGATGGGTAGATGACATAAGAGCAGTGGCAGGCAAACACTGGATTAGATTGGCACAAGATAGAGAAAGATGGAAGCAATTGGGAGAGACCTACATTCAGGAGTGGATGGAAAATAGTTGACAAAGAAGAAGAAGATGAAAGAACGAACAATGTATCATTCCCCTCTAATTTGACTCTTATAATTTTTAAGGTTGTCTCCTTTTAGTTATTAAGGATTATAAATTTGATAGACTATTATGTCCCCTTTATGTATCATTTGAAGATTCAAAATTTTTACCATGATTCGCAGACCCAACCAAATATATGTTTTTTTTTTTATTTTAGATATCTAGGTTTGTGATGTTGTCTTTGGAGAAAAACAAAGAACCGAAAGTGTTAATTGTGATTTTGGGAATTATAAAAATGATATGTAATACCAATAGTGCCTTGCTAGAGAGAAATTTGGAAGATTTCCTAAATAGGATAGTACAGTTGACTGTTTTTAAAGAGAGTATGGTGAGTATTATTTTGAATATTATCGTAAAATTTATTTGGACACAAAATACAGTATACATTTTTAATATGTATAAGTTGGATTTATACATATTGACAAGTAGTCAAGTTGGTTTTATAGTTTGTTCTAAATTCAAAGCAGGAAGGCGAAGGAAAAAAAACGAAGAAGATAATTACGACATAATGGCTAGCATCATGCAAAGATAACCTACAAATGAGGTTTGTAGATAAAACAGCTGCCATGAAACAGAAGTGGAGACGTGACACATTATTTTCCGAATGTATAAGCCATTGTTTGGAAATTATTTCTTCCTGATTTTTTGTCTGAGCTTGCGGCAGACATTATCACAGACAATACGGGAACGGTCGTAACTTTCTATGACTACCTGGTTTATTATTAATGGATAACATAGAAGAATTACGTTTGATAATACCAGCTTCAGTCGTGGCGAAACGTCCGGAATACGGTCCATAAACCCAGAAAACATTACCAACATAACGTCATAACGGTTTCATGAGAAAACAACGATCATAAAAGAATACACTTGATAACGGAAAAAATTTCAGGCAATCCAAATTTATAAAATACTTATAAGATAGTAGGAATCAAAAGTATAAAGATATTGCCTATTTAAAAGTTGACCACCGACCAATCAAAGTTGAAAGTTCAAATTCGGTTCTGAGATAGTCCACCATCATAAAATAAAAGAACTACAAAAATTGTACCAGCAGATAAGTAGCTGTAAAAAATAATTAATATCTAAAATAATAAAGGTCGCCATATACAAGGTACCTAAAGATTTTTGTTGGTGTATACCATACCTAGTGATCTAGATTATGAAGAATTTATCTTAGAACTCTGGTATACACTATACTCGAAGGGTGCGTTGCTGTCCGGGTAGATTATGGATGGACTCGTTCTTAGAGGTGAAAAAAACAAGAAAGAATAGATAAAAACAACAAAAAGGAAACAGGGGAGAGGACAACTCTTAAAAAAAAGGGCGCAACTGTTTTTAATGTTTGAATTCCCCCCTTCCAAAAAAAAACGGAAATGAGATGTTTACAAAACGAAGAGAAAATGTACTTGTCTACCTTTTTATGGTGTTAAATCGTCGACTTTGAACGAAGGTAAGTGCAGAAGATTGGAAGCATTTTAGATGTGTTATATCGGAGAGTACTTAAGATCCCGTGGGCTGACCGAGTCACAAATTCGGAGGTCCTCAGAAGAATGAAGAAAAATGGAAAGGTACTGATTACCGTCAAATCTCGAAGGCAACAATTCTTCTGACACATTATTCGAAATGACTACAGATATGCCCTCCTACAAGCCATTTTGCAAGGAAAAATATTTAAAAAGCGAGGTGAAGGAAGAAGAAGAATATCCTTATTAAAAAACCTCTGACCGTGTTTAAACACAACATCTGTACATCTCTTCTGCGCCGCTCTGCAAAAAGATAAAGATTGTAGCATCAAGACGATACAAAATATTATACTACATTGAATCTCCAGATTACAAAGACCCTGGACAATAACTTAATATGTTAATTATTCCAATATATAGATGCAATAATTAAAAATAAACAAGCAAAAATACCTCGACTGGAAGTTTTTATAATAAGATGTAATTAATTAACTTCAGGACACTGCATTATCATAAAAATGCAAAGATATGGAAAACTAATAAAGATAGGTATAGGATAAGTTTAATAAAGTTAAAGTATTTTCTTTACTAAATTTTAAAATATAGAGTGTTCCAATAAAAATATAGTACATGGTATGAACAGTAGTGAACATATGATTTTATATTTTACATACATTTTATTCGTATGTGAACAATTTTAAATTATGATTTTATTTTCAGAGAGTAAGAATGGAAGCCATTCAGTGTCTTACAGTCTTCTCGCTGGTGTTCCCTGTATACAAATTATTGCCATTAAAATCAACAGTTATATATACATTGGGAACTTGTGTAGATGACAAGAAACGTTTAGTGAGGAAAGAAGCTATGGAAGCTAGATCTTTATGGTTTTTATTAGATGCACCTGTATGATTTTAGTCATCATGAAGTACAGATGTATAATAGTTTTAAATACAGTTTCTAAAAAATATGTATTGTAAAATTTATTATTTTTAATTGTCCTTAAATATTTACGTGATAAATGCTAATTATAATCTCTTCTCAATTGCTAATAAGTGTAAGATTTCGTATTATTTACTATCTTTATTGGAAATTAACTATAATTTCAGTTCATTGATAGGAGTAATAAACAAGATAAGACAAAACCAAGACTTACGACACATAACCAAGTTGATCGAATATAGACCAAGAACAGATAAACGGAATAGAGAAAGATTACCCACACGATGACAAGATGGTTTGCGAAAAATTCGATCGATACTACGCAAGACCCTGCACTCGATACAAATAAAAAGCAAAAGCATATGTCTTGCAGTGAACTTGAAATTGGGCTGATGATGATGATAAGTATTTAAGATTATAATTATAAATATAAGGATTGTAAAAAGATAGTCATACAGAGCTATATTAATGAAAACTGTCACTGTAGCGTCAACATCCGAAATTGGTACTGAAATTTAAACTACACAGGAAAAACACATTTGTGATAGAATCTTAACTTATACATAAGCACTGTAGGATAATAATAAAGAGTGTTTGAAGCAGTGGCGGTTGGTATATAAGTGCTGCGGAGCTGCAGAACCACCAAAATAATCCAAACAAATATACTTTGAAAATTAAATAAAAAATATCACTACTTATAAAATCTAAATTCATTTAGGTGGTTTTCGTGCATGGCCGCCTTTATTTTAATCTGTCGTCCGTCGCCTCTCATGGTGATAGCAAGTCCCACTTATTTGACCGGACCGGTGCTACTCCGAGCTGTGAACTGTTAAAGATATCCCCCATAACACCCGCTCAACCCCTCGTCTACACTTTTCAGGCGACGACTGAAAGCAATATTTGAGCTGCATTTGTCGCAGTTCGAACTAGTGTGTACAAACCTACGTTTATTGTAATTTTAAATAATCGGTGATCGCGACGCGACGACTGTTAAAATAAGTTGTCCTGCACGTAATTCGGTATTTATATTAAGTATATGAGAATAAAAGTGCTGTTCAGGATGGATGTTATTTATAATTTGATTAACGTTAAGAGATTCTTTAAATATTCTTATGACGAAAAACTAAAATTAAAATGCAAAGGACGTCCTTTGCTGGATATTAAAATCGAAAAAGAAGGATCAAGCCGAGGGAAAAATTACAAACGACAATTTAATTGCGGTATTTATACGAGAAATAGTTGGATATGAGGCTGCAACAGAAAAAACGCTCTTTTCTGTTTTCCTTGTGTACTCTTTGGAGGTGATAAGTCATGGACGCAAGTTGGTATAACAGACTTAGTACATTTAAGTGATAAAATAAAAAAGCACGAAACTTCTAAGCATCATTTGCACAATCAAATGGAATATGCTTTATTAGGATATCAAATATATCCTATTATAATTAGATTAATCAAATGGAATATGTTTTGGATCCTATCCTGGCAAACTCAAATAATAAACCAATTGCTCAGAGTTATGATGGGGCAGCGGTCATGTGTGGACAGCACGCAGGAGTTCAAGCCAGAATCAAAGAAAAATATCCATTTGCTCATTTTGTACAGTGTTACGCGCATCAATTAAATTTAATAATGTCTAAGGCTTGTTCCGAAAACTCTCAAGTTAGACTTTTTTTTTGGAAATTTAAATGAAATCCCTGCCTTTTTTAAAAATTCGCCACAACGAGTGGCAGTTTTAGATAAAATCGTCCAAAAGAAAATTCCTCATGGCGCTCCAACTCGCTGGAACTTCAATATTGGAACTGTTAATGTTGTGTTTGAACATCGATCTTCTTTTATCGAATGTATAAAATAAATAGAAGAATCGTTTGATAAGGCAGCTGTCTGTAGTTCAGCGTCTTCCATTCGAAGAATACTAGTGGATCAAAATTTTGTTTTTTGGTTAACATTTTTCCATCGCATAATGCCACAAGTAGACGTTTTGTATAATGCCCTTCAAAAGACTAAAACGGATCCTTTGGAAATCAATAAAAAGGTGACAGATTTCGAAAGATACATGACTGCCTTTTCAAGAAACTGTAAAACTGCTTCAAATTCTAATTACAGTGCCCATGAGTACGGCAGAAGCTGAAAGGTGCTTTTCGAGTTTAAAACGGATTAAAACATTCTTGAGAAATTCCATGACTGAAGACCGACTTGTAGCATTAACCATGTTGTCTGTAGAAAAAACACTTATAAAAGAAATACCAAACTTTAATGAAAAATCCACAAGGAATCTACGTTCCTGTAGTTGGCTGTATACCATGTATTAAAAATTTAATTAAAAATCCTTTGTAAAAGGTATATTTTAGGCCCAAACGGGCTAAGTTAAAAAGACAAAACGTTTTCGGAAACCATGTTCCATCATCAGTGTCTAGGAGTACATGAATGAAGCCACCAAGATTAAATATGTGGGTAAAAACCCGGTTACATATGTTTAATTACATTTAGTTTTAAATTAATGTTGAAATGATATAAGATTACAGAGTTACCGATGGATTTGGTAACATGGCGATCATATATGTCGCCATGTTACCAAATCCATCGGTAACTCTGTAATCTTATATCATTTCAACATTAATTTAAAACTAAATGTAATTAAACATATGTAACCGGGTTTTTACCCACATATTTAATCTTGGTGGCTTCATTCATGTACTCCTAGACACTGATGATGGAACATGGTTTCCGAAAACGTTTTGTCTTTTTAACTTAGCCCGTTTGGGCCTAAAATATACCTTTTACAAAGGATTTTTAATTAAATTTTTAATGAAAAAGTTATAGACTAGTTTGCTTTAAAAAAAAATCGACGAATCGAGCTTATTTATAAAAAAAAATAATATATTTGGCTCTGTGTGTAGTTAGTTCGTAAGACCCTATAATGCAATTATTGTTGTGGCGATTTTGTTTGTAGTGTTTTTTCGTTTGCATTCCTTAGTTTCGCGTATTTATCGATAAAATTCTACTAAAAACATAAACTATAAAACAATTACTAGTGTGCCATAATGTACCATTGCTATTTTTGATATAATTGGATTTATCTTCAATTTGAAAAGAAGAAAATCGGTAAGTTCTTTATTATTTTTTAATATATATATAATGAATAAATATATGGTGTAAAATATCAAACTAAAAGCCTCGTAAAATACAACGATTAAAAGATATTGAATTAAAAAAAACCAAAAAATACTGCAGAACTACCAAATTTTTGAGTCACCAGCCGCCACTGGTTTGAAGGCTGTCAATGTATGGGCAAACAATTCTTACTGCAAGGTATAGATATAAGTAGAAGTGTCTTAATATATTTATGTTGCCATAGCAGACGACATTTATAAAGAAGTGGTGCGAACAAAGCACTGTTAACTCAGTCATCGGACATTCAATCAGAAACTCGTCATTAATTAAAGCAACTACAAGTGGCTTCCAGGGAAACTATTTGAACAGCTTATCATAGAAATTTTCATTCTCATCTGACATATGCTATTCTCTCCTAGGGTCGCTCTTGTCATATTGATAAAGTTTTTGCTCAACAAAGAAAGTGTGTTCGTATTATCTCTGGGCTCTGTTATAGAGCAGATTGTAGAAACCCCTTTAGAGCATTAAAAATTTTAACTTTACCTTGTGTATACATTATGCAGTGTCTGTTGCACATTAAACAAAATCTTAACCAATACAATGCGCATGTAGATCTTCACAATTATCCCACCAGATTTAACAATAATCTTATACCAGAATTTGGCCGACTTGAGAGATCCAGAAATGGTTCAAATTATTTAGCCATAAAATTCTATAACTTAGTACCAGCTAGAATAAAAGCTCTTAATTTTCATCAGTTTGAGGCAAAAATTAAGAGTTACCTTATAGTGAATGCCTTTTTAACATCTTCTTCTTCTTCGTCTAGCCATTCACGTCCACATCTGAACATAAGCCTCTTCAAGTTCTCCTTTCCATTGTTTTTTATTGTACGCTACTTGTAGCCAATTTTTCCCGGCAGTCCTTTTCAGATCATCTGTCCATCTCATAGGAGGTCTGCCTCTGGGTCTTTTGTGTTGTTATAGTCTCCAGGTTAAAATTTATCTGTGCCATTTGTTTAGATCGCTCCTAGCGTATGTCCAGCGTATTCCCATTTCAACTTTAATGATTTTTTCACCACATCGGTGACTTTGGTTTTCTGTCTTATCCATGTGTTTGTTTTCTTGTCCTTAAGCGATATACCTAGCATTGCTCTTTCCATCGCCTGTTGAGTGACTCTAAGTATATTCATATTCTTTTTTGTGATTGTCCATGTTTGTGTCGCATGAGTTAATATCGGAATAATGCATGCATCAAAAACTTTAGATCTAAGATGTTATTGAATTTGTTGATTTCTAAGTATATAGTTCAGTTTACCGAATGCTGCCCAAGCTAACTTTCTTCATCCTTTTATTTCTTCAGTTTGAATTTCCCTATTTAGGATTATTTTTTGTCCTAAGTATATATATTCTTCAACTTTTTCTATAACTTTATCGTTTATTATTGTCACGGTGTCTTCGGAGTGCATGACTTTTGTTTTGTTTAAATTCATTTTCAGTCCTATTTTAGAAGATTCGGTATGTAGTTCTAAAAGCATGGTTTCCATTTCTTGTAGGTCAGTAGCTATCAGGATTATGTCATCTGCAAATCGTAGATTACTGAGGTAGCGGCCATTGATGTTTATTCCCTTATTGTTGGAGAACTATATCTCCAAACCAATAATTCTATTTTGTATCAAATAATTCTATTTTCGCGTCGGTTACCTAAATAAATCCAGTCTACCTAGACCTTGTTTCTGAGAATGTTAATCCCCGCCCACAGCGCCTACTTGACGACAGACCGGCTTTTCAAAATGCATAAACAGAAAAATATTCCAGCGGGGCTAGTGATTTAGTGACTTTCGTAGGGCTAACATCTATATT